AGAAATTTAAAACAAGCAAAAATAACAATTATTTAAGCTTTTCAAAATCTGAATTTCCAAACAGCCAAACAAACCTTAATAATTTTCTGAAATAACAAACTGGCCCCAAGGACCCAATTGCATGTTTTCAGAAGTTTTAAATTTTCAGATTGGCCACAGGATTGAATTGCAATTAAATGACTATTCTGAAATTACGAATTGACCCCAGACCAGTTTCGAATTTTCACATTGACCCCAGGGGTCAAATTGAAATACACAACAGTTTCAGAAATTGCAAATTCGTCCCTAAAAACTATCAAATTTTCGAACTCAGGTCCTCCAACATCCAAACCCTACTTCACCCGTCTCTTGCACGCAAATCGTGCAGGTGCCCGCGGTGGTCGACCTCCGGGCAGCCAACGCCGCCCCAGGCGGTCTTCGTCTCGCCGGATTCCTCCCAGGCGCTCAAAACGTCATTTTTTTTATTATTATTTTTTTTTATTTTTTTTTTATCGCAAGTCCGCCATTAAAGGCGGACACGAGCTCGAAGCTCGAATTTCCGGCGGCCAGCCTTTGCAGCGACAATCGCCGGCAGCAACCTCGTGGTATAGGATAGGAGATCGGAAAACGGGGCGAGAAGGGTCGTACGGGTGAGAGTGATCGAAAATCCAATTCCCAGATTTGGATATGTGCACACATATTCCTAGAATTTTGACAGATTCGTACAACAGCAACCCTTACTATTTGTTTAATCACCATTAAAACAATTTTAATGACAAATTAAAATAAAATAGGGCATTAGCAGATTCCAAATCCATGCTTTGCGAGCAGGCTTTCTTTCGAACAAGAAATTCAATTCCCAGAAATTGTGCGTGTAATTACGAACCGAATAAACAAAAAAATTCCAAAATCCTTTTCTGTGAGCGATAGACAGCAGCAGCGCAATTCCCAGAATTTACGATTCCAAATCAGCTTTCTTAATTTTAGTTTGATTATAATTAAAACAATTTTAATTATAGATTAAACTAAAACATGATTGCAGATTTTGATCCATTAATATAAATCTAATTTAGATCGAATAGCTATGAACACCGACCCGGTGCTCTGATACCACTGTTGGTTTTTTTGTCGTACGAATCAATCGCACACGCAGCGGAATTTTAAAATTTTCTTACCAACAAGAAGATCCGGTTATAGTTATTCGATTTTGATCCTAGATCGCGAGAACTTACAGTTTAAGCTTTGTCTTCAACTATGGTATCCACGCAATCCAGATCCCGGCCCGGTGCACGATCCAACGCAGTGAATCCCTTCTGGTGAAGACGCTAGGAATCCTCAGTCAGAAAGCCAAAGAGAGAGAGTTTTTGTTTTTACGGCGTATCTCAATTATCTGATGTCTTGCAACTGATAAAGAGATACCC